CAGAGCCAGGCCTCGGGGGGGGGGGGGGGGGGGTTAAGCTCCACCCCTAAAGCTAAGAGCAAATGGAAAAGTCCACATCAAGGGGAGAACAAAACAAGGAAATGAAACAGAGGAGGGGAAAGCTAGGCCAAGACATCATACTGGCCATTTGTTATTTCACAGGAATTTTATTACATGCAAAGATAACATGGAAAGATAGAAAAGGGTTATACAACATTTAAAAAGAGCAGATCAACATACTTCAGCAAATAAAAAACAGGTAAAATAGCGTAAGTCTTGTGTAAATAAAGAGTGGAGGTGCCTTAGCAAACTACAACTCCCTTGATCCCATAGCATTGAACCAGAGCCGTTAAAGTAGTGCCAAGCTCCATTAATTCTACAGTTCAGATGAATCCAAAAACAAGGGAAAAACCTACTTCCCCTTGCACGTGGCCAGAGTAGGGAATCAGTCATTTGACAATATACGGTAATCATTTTGCTTCTCTTGGAGACAGATAGGTCTCCCCCCCCCCCCCCCAAAAAAAAAAACCACTCACAGTTCAGGAATGTACTAAGATAATTTGTATCAATTAGCTATTTACATAACAATTATACTACAACAACAAAACCTTTAAAGATCATCTTGTTCTTTATTCTTCCATTTTGGCATTTACATATGTTGATGTTCAGATACTCATCTGATCAATGTTTTGTTCGGGAATCTAGCTTTCGAAGCTACTACCTCATTTATGAAAGCATCCTATGCCCAAAGAAAGCATTAAGCTTGATGCAGTCTCAGGCCCCTTCTACACTGCCAAATAATCCAGATTATCAAAAGCAGATGTTGTTGTTCATTCGTTCAGTCATTTCCAACTCTTTGTGATCTCATGGACCAGTCCACACCAGAGCTCCCTGGCGGCCATCACTACCCCCAACTCCTTCAAGGTCAATCCAGTCACTTCAAGGATGCCATCCATCCACCTTGCCCTTGGTCAGCCCCTCTTCCTTTTTCCTTCCATTTTCCCCAACATACTTGTCTTCTCTAAGCTTTCCTGTCTTCTCATAATGTGGCCAAAGTACTTTATTTTGGCCTCTACTATTCTTCCCTCCAATGAGCAGTCGGGCTTTATTTCCTGAAGTATGGACTGGTTGGATCAAAGCAGATAATCCACACCATTAGATTAGCCCCCTCCCTCCTGACCTTTAGGAAAAAATTGAAAACTTGATGTGGGACCAAGCGTTTGGATGTGAACATGGAATGATGCAATGATAACTGGAATGGCCTGGACTACGATATTGGATTATGTGATTTTAATAATTTTAATGTTGATATGTTTTTAGCGGGTGTTTTAAAGTATATGTTTTTATTTGCTGGATATGTATTGTATATAATGTATGGCATCGAATTGTGCCTTTGTGTGCTGCTCTGAGTCCCCTTTGGAGTTAAGAAGGGCGGGATATAAATAATCTGATTTTAATTGGATTATATGAGTCCACACTGCCATATAATCCAGCTCAAAGCAGATAATCTGGATTTTATATGGCGGTGTAGAAGGGGGCTCATACTGCTTCACGAAGGACACTCACCTGAAAGTGTGAGTACATTTTTTCAGACAAACTAAGGTTTTCTGCGGGATACACGTCTCTATTTACCTGTTAACATCACATACATTCGTTATTGGAAAGGAGGTAGTATTGTTGACTATGTATTGTGTCAAGTGAAGTGTTAAGATTTGATTCATTTCTAAGCTATCTGTTAGAGCAATGCTTTTCAGGCTATATGATGTGAACAGACCAGTATTTTTTTTTTCTCATCCCATTGGTTACCAGTATTTCTTTCTTTCCTAGAAATAGCTTTGGCACTGTACCAGGGAGTACCACTTTGAGTAGCACTGTGCCTTCTAACCATACCTCTAGCCTAGAAATATGGGTAGATAGAATGGATCAGAGCTTACTGAATAATGCATATCTATACGTTCATCTTCGTTTCTAGATCACAATGCTTGTTAATAGTATGAGGCTCGGCTGCCCTGAATCCCCTTACAGGGAGAATGGCAGGGTAGAAGTGTACAAAATAAATAAATGATGCTCAACGGTGTCTTGCATCACGAAGGGGACACTTCCTGATTGACTGTAGATTGATCTCTGCCCTTTTCACTGCCTGAGAAGAGGCCTTAGTAACCACATGGTGCTTTCTACAGCCTTACAGGACTGTGGTCTATAGTGCTCAAAGTTGTCACTGCATCTGGCCTAGAATGTGGCAAAGCATGACAACTGCAAAAGGAGAACCATGCATTTTGCATTTTGCCTAGATTGTTGGAAATAACCTTCTACAAGCCTCCAAACTAGTTATTTGTTATGTATATAATTCAGATTGCTTACTGTGTTGTGTATGTGTGTATTGGTATGCAGCTTTCCTTAACTCTATGTTGTGGGAGGAACTGCAGACGGTGTGATCAGATCTGGGAATGCCCTCTATTTTAGAATGTAGAAACAGAATGCTTTAGAAAGGCAGAGACTCCACTAGACTCTCAGAACAGAGAGATGCTTAAGATTTTGTACTGTTGATTCTAAGAAAGATGTTCTTCACAGCCAGTGTTGGCCACTGTTGGTGGCATATATAGCAGAGAAAGATGCCCTGTGTTATCTGCACAGAGAGACTACCGGGATTGTGGCACAGCTGTCTGAGTGTCAGCTGCATTAAGATCACTCTGACCAAAAGGTCATGAGTTTGAAGCCAGCCCGGGTTGGAGTGGGTTTCCAACCAATTGTGTGTAGCCTGTTGTCGACCTTTGCAACCTGAAAGACAGTTGCATCTGTCAAGTAGGAAAATAAGGTACCACCTTAAAGTGTGGGGAGGCTAAATTAACTGATTTATGAGGCCATAAAGAAGACTCCAGCAAAGCATTCCAGCGGGGAAGCATGCGAGGAATGCGGAAGTGCTTCATTAGCGTCGCAGATGGACGATGAAAGCAACAGCTTCCCTGGCGGCCAGAAAAAAAAAGTTAAATAGCCTCTGTGTATGTCTGTATATGTATGTATGTCAAAAATTGGCATTGAATGTTTGTCGTATATGTGTACACTGCAATCCGCCCTGAGTCCCCTGCGGGGTGAGAAGGGCGGAATATAAAAGCTATAAATAAATAAATAAATAAATACTTCAGATCTATCTGTAACTGGACTGATAAGCAATGTACCTGTATGTTGAATACATGAAGTTTGTGAGTAAATCACCTATATAACTTTTAAAGAAGTCTACTTTATTTTTGGTCTCTTGAGAGCATAATTTAAAAGCCAGTATATTTTATGGAAGAGTAGATGTTTTGGGGCACTGAAGAGAACACTTCTGAAACTCTGTTATACAGTGTTCCCTCACTTATCGTGGGGGTTCCATTCCAGGACCACCTGCAATAAGTAGGAACACTGTATTAATTTTAATATTTATACATTATTTTATATATTGTATATATTATTTTCTTACCCGCGCTTCTTTATCCACCTCCTGGCCCATCCCAAGGGCACTTGCCTGCCTCCCTGGCCTCCGCAGAGCCTCTGGAGCCACGCAGGAAGCAGCTGGCCAGGGATGCAGGTCTTCCCCGCCACACCTCAGGCTGCCGCACTTCTGGGGTCGGTGGAGGCCAGGGAGGCAGGCCTTCCCTGCCGTGCCACAGGCCGCTGCACTTCTGAGGTCCCTGGCCTCCCTGGCCCCCACCGGATGGAAATATTTGATATTTTACAATTTTTATTAATATTTTCAAAATCCCACAAAACAGCAAGTCCGCTAAAAGCAAACTGCGAAGTAGCAATGTTTTTGTGCATTGGCATATCTTTGTTCCAAACAGTTCAAAGAGATATCTAGATATTATCATTCTAACAGCTGAGAAACCTAATTGCCTTGCATGAATACTAGTGGACAGGCCCGTAGCCAGGATTTCGATTCGGGGGTGGGGGCTGAGTTTGTTTCGGGGGGACTGAGTCTGAGTGAAAGAGGGTCTATCCTAGCAAACCTTTTGTATTGTTACCCCAATACCCCCATGCATATGGGATATATTGAGTATGGTGATCAGATCATGATATGAATAAACATAACAGTTTAAATAATGCACCAGTAAGGCCTTTTCGCGAACCACCATGAGAATTTTGGGGGGGGGGCTGAAGCCCCTCAAGCCCCCCCCCCCCCCCGGCTACATGCCTGCTAGTGGATATTTACCACAAAGAAGAAGGTTGACTCAAGCGAATTTTTAACTCTTCTCAGGAAGATCATACTTCAACACAAGTTACGATCTCTAACAAGGTCATGCTTTTCCAAACAATTCCTGGTTTTTTCAAAAGGTTATGAATGCCATTTTCCAAAAGTTATGTGACCAGTGATTTTCTAAAAAGATAAATATTCCCACCTTGGTTCCTTCCTGACATCATTAGTCTCCATGTTTGCTGGGATTGATGCGATTGGTAGTCCAAAACATTTGGAAACTTTTTGGACTGTAATTCTCAGTCTCTCATGACTGACGACATTTTGGAAGGTATAGCCCTAAAACCTTCCTCTCTGAAGCTCTAGATCAGAGGTCCTCAAACTTTTTAAACAGAGGGCCAGGTCACAGTCCCTCAAAGTGTTGGAGGCCGGATTATAATTGAAAAAAGCATGAATGAATTCCTATGCACACTGCACATAGCTTATTTGTAGTGCAAAAAACATTTAAAAACAATACAATAATTAAAATGAAGAACAATTTTAACAAATATAAATTTATTAGTATTTCAATGGGAAGTGTGGACCTGCTTTTGGCTGATGAGATAGGATTGTTGTTGTTGTCGTGCTTTCCAGTAATTTCAGATTTAGGTTGACCCTGAGTGAGGGCCGGGTAAATGACCTTGGAGGGCCGCATCCGGCCCTCGGGCCTTAGTTTGAGGACACCTGCTCTGGATCAAAGAATAATGTTTCTTTTACCTGACAAACATAAAGTTTCAGTTTTCTAATATAAAAAAACTTTTTAAAAAGGTGGGATTCTCTTTTCACTTACCAACCCATCACAATTGCTGATGGCCACCTTGGCCCCTGGCATGCCTGAGACTCTTCCTGTGAAGACGCACTCCTTCTGCAATGGTTCCTGGAAGATCTTTTGGAAGTCCTCTTGCCACTCAGCCAATGCACGAGGAGACACCAGCCGCCGATTGGGCTTCAGGCGAAGATGCAATTCCTTGCCAAAAACAGTGACATTGAAGTAGTATAAATGGTTCCCAGACATGTCTTGGTTCACAGGGGTGCTGCGGACCACCCTACGCCGATCTGAGCGAGGTGGAGGAGCAGAAGGATGAACAGTTTCCCCCCTCCTTGCTGTCACTGAGCCAGACACCACGTGCGAGAGGAACCGTCCCTGGCAATCTGCACTGAAGGGCACAATCACACCATATTCACTTAGTTTTCCAGACAGGAGGAGCTCTATTGGAAATAAATACAGATAGACAAACTTCAGTACATTAAAAGTAGAAAAAAACATTAAGTGTATGTGTGTGTAAAGCCTTCCTTTTTAGAGATATTCATTGACTCAACCAGAATGGGATTGAATTCCAGAGAATCATAAGAGTTGGAAGAGACCTCATGGGCCATCCAGTCCAACCCCCTGCCATGAAGCAGGAATATTGCATTCAAAGCACCCCTGACAGATGACTATCCAGCCTCTGTTTAAAAGCTTCCAAAGAAGGAGCCTCCACCACACTCCGGGGCAGAGAGTTCCACTGCTGAACGGCTCTCACAGTCAGGAAGTTCTTCCTAATGTTCAGATGGACAAATACCCCTCAAGTGAGTCTCATGGGTAAACTGTTGCTCAAGTCCTTGAGTAACACACAAATATTGTGTGCACTTTGCCTTAAACAAAAGTGACTGCACCAAAACTAGACAAATTCTGCCACTTGGACAAATGTATTGAAATACATTCTACTTGCAATGCATGAACCCATTTTAATTCTTTTGTATAATTTCAACTATCTTGCATTAGTTCTGATTTTTCTGATTGCAGGGCAGGACGTGGTAAGGTGTTGAAGCAAAGCCTCCCAACCACACTGAAAATCTTGCTGAATAATTGAGAAAGAACTGCTTGCATATGCTATCTTCACAGCCTTAAAGTACTAAAACCCGTTTTTAAAAAAGGAATAGTAGTCTTTCAGTAACTTTAAAAAAATTAAAAACTTAAAATTTCAGCAAGTTGCATTTTGTGCTCTGAACTACTGTTTGATTGTGTTTGTGTGTGTGTGAGTGTGTGTGTTTTTTCCACTGTGCTCCAGACCTGCAGCATATATGTGTGTATATATATATATACACACACACACATACACGCACACGCGCGCGCGCACACACACACACGTCTACATCCATGGGTCTACACAGGACAGCAGTGCCCTTGCATAATGTCAGGAGTGGTGGTGCAATGGGTTAAACCCTTGTGCTGGCAGGACTGCTGACTGAAAGATCGGCAGTTCGAATCTGGGGGGTGGAGTGAGCTCCTGTCTGTCAGCTCCAGCTTCTCATGTGGGGTCATGAGAGAAGCCTCGCACAGGATGGTAAAACATCTGAGTGTCCCCTGGGCAACGTCCTTGCAGACAGCCAATTCTCTCACACCAGAAGCAACTTGCAGTTTCTCAATTCACTCCTGACATGAAAAAAAAATATGTCCGGAGTCATTTTGGATCCTGGATGATGATATGATGATAAAGACATTTGGGGAAGGACACAGCATTCACTGGCATGTCTATGGATGTTGCACATTTACTCAGAAACATCCAATCCTTAATGTTTTGTTTCCTAGAAGTGCAAAACAATGGCATCACCAAAGTTTTATGTGTTTTCTGTGGAGGGGAATCTTAAAAACAGGAAACCATTATTGCTCATACTTCTTGCTTGCAGAACCTCTATTATTTCCTGCTCATAAACTGTGATTTATGAAATATCGACTGGATAGGTTCAGTGTGGCAGAAGAAATGCACAATGACACACATTTATACCCAGCTAAGACCAAGCATCCAAACTATTCATTGTTCAGCTTCCATGTAGCATTGCTCCAAAGCAGAGAATCCAACTGAGTTTTGAAAGTATATCAGCGTAACAACACATTTTGATCCCAAGTGACGCCTTCATTTTCCAATTTCTCCAAATATCTGCAACAGGAGACTGTAGATTAGCACACTAAATGTTAAAAAATCAAGCAGATGAAAACTTTTTTTATGTCGTGTCAGGAGCAACTTGAGAATCTGCAAGTCGCTTCTGGTTTGAGAGAATTGGCCGTTTGCAAGGATGTTGTCCAGGTGATGCCCAGATGTTTAGAGGTTTTACCATTCTTGTGGGAGGTTTCTCTCATGTCCCTGCATGAAGAGCTGGAGCTTATAGAAGGTGCTCATCCACGCTCTCCCTGAATTTGAACCTGCGACCTGTCAGTCTTCAGTCCTGCCGGCACAGGTGTTTAACCCACTGCGCCACTGGGGGCTCCAGAGATGAAAGCTTATTCATGTTCTAAAAGGTACATAATCAAATAACATAATCTTAAGAGGAAAAATATCATTTAACTCACTACTCAATCTCTACTCCTGTATTGGTGGGATTGATGTTGTTAACTCACTAACTACCCAACATTACACACATTACACATTTTTTAAATGGGACCTGCTAAAAACAAGTTGACAGCAAGACAGTAGAATGAAGTCTTCTTCCATTCCCACAAGATGTCAGGGGCACCTGGTGGCACAGAGGGTAAAACTGCTGAGCTGCTGAACTTGCTGACCAAAAGGTTGGCAGTTCGAATCTGGGGAGCGGGGTGAGCTCCCACTGTTAGGCCCAGCTTTTGCCAACCTAGCAGTTCGAAAACATGCAAATGTGAGCAGATCAATAGGTACTGCTTCTATGGGAAGGTTTTTTTCATGTCAGGAGCGCCTTGAAAAACTGCAAGTTGCTTCTGGTTTGAGGGAATTGGTCATCTGCAAGGACGTTGCCTAGGGGACAAATGGATGTTTTGATGTTTTATCATCCTTGTGGGAGGTTTCTTTCATGTCCCTGCAATGGGGAGCTGGAGCTGATAGAGGGAGCTCCTCCGCACTCTCCCTGGATTCGAACCTGTGACCTGCTGGTCTTCAGTCCTGCCGGCACAAGGGTTTAACCCATTATGCCACCAGGGGCTCTGGTGGAAAGGTAACAGCACTCCATACAGTCATACCGGCCACTTGACCTTGAAGGTGTCTACGGACAACACCGGCTCTTCAGATTAGAAATTGAGATGAGCACCACCCCTCAGAGTCGGACATGACTAGACTTAATGTCAGGGGAAACCTTTACCTTACCCACAAAAAGTCACAACTCAGCTAAAATCAGTGGATTTGACTTCTGAACCCACATGCTGAGACTGAAAAGCACAAAGCTACTTTTAAAATCTAATCAGCAGGCACTAGCAAAGTAAAATATAAGTGACAAGCTTAAATCTGCAACCAGGATGTGCCATTTATTTGTTTGTTTATTTACAGTATTTATATACCGCCTTTCTCAACCCTGGGGGACTCAAAGCGCTTTACACATAAATGATAGTAAAATTCAATGCCAATAGAAACAATTACAATAGTAAAACCACAATTAAACATAAATCATAATTAAAACAATACATCAACAAGCATTAAAACAATCAAATCGCCGTTCCAGTCAACGGAATGGCGATTTAGTCACTTCCAAACTAAAAAGGCACGGGGATATGAAACTGCGGGGTTTTTTTCGTCTCCCTCTCTTATTCTATAAAAAGAAACTTAATTGCAGGTAACATAGAAAATGTCATATATCCCTTGCCAGTTTAATGGAACCAAACCCTGAAACCTAGAGCTGAAGGAAGGACAGATACCTATGAAACAAGGTGGATCCTAGACACTAGCCTTTTGCTTTCTTATTCCTAAGCAACAGGTGGTTGTCAAAGATATAAGTTGTCTATATCCATGACAATCAAAAGCTTCAGCGCAGTGAAATGAATGAACACTACAATAGATACTAGAATACATTATACATCCTGCATGCTGCCTGGAAGCCATCTGCATTCTAGAAGATGAGACTTAAAAGACTGTTTAGTGCACCAGCCTGGGACTTGATCAAACCGTCAGCAGTCGGAAATGCTCTTCTGTATGATGAACCATTATTTTGGTGACCATACTAGGAGCCAGTCAGTCCAATTTCACTCAAGAAGCAATTCACACATGGTCACCACCGAACCCAGATAGATTCGCTTAGGCAGAAAAGTCCCCCTGGTGTTCAGTGGAATGCACTTCCAAGTGAACATGTATATTATGCACAGGATTGCAGCCCTCCGGTGGAAGGAGGAAAAATGCCCCAAACATATACAGAAGTAAAGTGAAAACAGTGAAGAGAGTGGGAGCCAGGGGACAGTTCCATCTTGTCTCCAATGCTATGCTAATAATATAATATAATATACATACATATAATATTTATAATATTATAATGTAATGCAATATAATACTACTAATAATAACATGATATTATAATTATATATTTGTATTACATGTAATATTACTAATAATATTACAATATAATGGTATAGTACAATATAGTAATATTTAATACTGATATTGTATTATGCTAATAATATAATATATTGTATGTATATATATATATCTTGTAAGCCACTCTGAGTCCCCTTCGGGTGGCATTTAAAGGTCGTAAATAAATAAATAAAGTCTTACTAAGACTGGAATCCAAGTTTCCTTTGGTGTGCATTTGGTGTGCATAGAGGGGGGTGTACAGCTCAGTGGCACTAAATCTAATGAGTCCTGATGAAGCGCGATGGCTCTGATTGCTCCAATCCACTGAGACTTGCATGCTGTTTCCAGCCATAAAAATTCCAGAATCGGAAACAGTCCCTATGGGAGGCTGCAGCGGTGACAGCTTTGCTTTCTGCCGGATCAAGGCGCGCAAACTTTTTTCCATGCACAACATTATTTCAAACTATTCATAAAACAATACAAAACTTCATAAAGTGATGTTCAGGCCATGCATATAAGGGGTGTGTGTGTGTATATGTGTGTGTGTGTGTGTGTGTGTGAGAGAGAGAGAGAGAGAGACAAAAACGAATACCATGTTTAGATATGTGTCCCACCCCCAAGGATGTAGCTACACTATAGAAATCATGCAGTTTGGCACCACTTGAACTCCCACTGCTCAGTGCTACGAAATCTTGGGTCTGTTGCCTTCTCTGTCAAAGTGTACTAGTTTCGCAGGGCCTTTAGCCTTCTCTGCCAAAGAGTGATAGTGCCTCAGCAAACTACAGCTCCCAGGATCCCATAGAACTGAGCCCATTGCTGTTTGGGTGGTGTCAAACAGCATTCATTCCATTAAATCCTGGGAGTTATACTTTGGTGAGGGACCAGCACTTTTTGGCAGAGATGGCTGGTTAAAGACGATGTACAACTACAACTTCCAGAATTCTATAACGCTGAGCAGTGGTGCCAAACTGCATTAAATCTACAAAGTAGATGAACCCATTAAATCCTGGAAGCTATAGTTTGATGAGGCACCAGCTCCATTTGACAGGCAAAGACCTTGTCAAGCTACAACTCCCGGAGTCCATAGCACTGAGCAGTGGCAGTTTGAGTGGTGCCAAACTGCATTAACTGCCCATGAAATCCTGGGAGTTCTACTTTGGTGGGGTATCAAAGACCTTGTCAAACTACAAATCCCAGGATCCCATTTCACTGAGCAGTGCATTCAGACTAAAGATACTACCATGACATCCCGGGAGTTCAACTTTGATGACGCACCAGCACTCTTCAGCAGAGATGGTTAAAGACCTTGTCAAACTACAACTCCCAGGATCCCATAGCACTGAGCAGTGCATTCACTACAGATACGACCACGAAATCCTGGGAGTTCAACTTTGGTGAGCCACCAGCACTCTTAGGCAGAGAATGCTGAAGACCTTGTCAAACTACAACTCCCAGGATCCCATAGCACTGAGCAGTGGCAGTTTGAGTGGAGCCAAAGTGCATTCACTCTACAGTGTAGATGTATAGTTTGGTGAGGCACCAGCTCCCTTTGGCAGGGAAAGCTGAAGACCTTGTCAAACTACAACTCCCAGGATCCCATAGTACTGAGCAGTGCCAGTTTGAGTGGAGCCAAAGTGCATTCACTCTACAGTGTAGATGTATAGTTTGGTGAGGCACCAGCTCCCTTTGTCAGGGAAAGCTGAAGACCTTGTCAAACTACAACTCCCAGGATCCCATCGCACTGAGCAGTGGGAGTTCAAGTGGTGGCAAATTGCATTCATTACACAGTGTAGATGTATAGTTTGGTGAGGCACCAGCTCCCTTTGGCAGGGAAAGCTGAAGACCCTTTCAAACTACAGCTCTCAGGATCCCAGAGCACTGAGCAGTGGGAGTTCAAGTGGTGCCAGGATCCCATAGCACTGAGCAGTGGGAGTTCAAGTGGTGCCAAACAGTGTAGATATACAGTGTACAAACTGCATTCATTATACAGTGTAGATGTATAGTTTGGTGAGGCACCAGCTCCCTTTGGCAGAGAAAGCCGAAAACCTTGTCAAACTACAGCTCCCAGGATCCCATCACTCTACCATGAAATCCTGGGAGTTCAACTTTGGTGAGGCACCAGCACTCTTGGGCAGAGACGGTTAAAGACCTTGTCAGACTACAACTCCCAGGATCCCATAGCACTGAGCAGTGGGAGTTCAAGTGGTGCCAAACTGTATTCATTATACAGTGTAGATGTATAGTTTGGTGAGGCATCACCTCCCTTTTGCAGAGAAAGCCGAAGACCTTGTCAAACTACAACTCCCAGGATCCCAAGGCACTGAGCAGTGCATTCACTCGACCATGAAATCCTAGGAGTTCTACTTTGGTGAGGCACCAGCACTTTTGAGCAGAGAATGTTGAAGGTCAAACTAAAACTTCCAGGGTCCCATACCATCAAACCATGGCATCAAACGGTGAAAGACCTTGTCAAACTACAACTCCCAGGATCCCATAGCACTGAGCAGTGCCTTCACTATACAGATACGACCATGAAATCCTGGGAGTTCTACTTTGGTGAGGCACCCCGCACTCTTGGGCAGAGACGGTTAAGGACCTTGTCAAACTACAACTCCCAGGATCCCATAGCACTGAGCAGTGGCAGTTGGAGTGGAGCCAAAGTCAATTCACTCTACAATGTAGATATAAAGTTTGATGAGGCACCAGCACTCTTGGGCAGAGAAAGCTGAAGGCCTTGTCAAACTACAACTCCCAGGATCCCATAGCACTGAGCAGTGGCAGTTCGAGTGGAGCCAAAGTCCATTCACTCTACAGTTAGATATATAGTTTGGTGAGTCACCAGCACTCTTGGGCAGAGAAAGCTGAAGACCTTGTCAAACTACAGCTCCCAGGATCCCAAGGCACTGAGCAGTGCATTCACTCGACCATGAAATCCTAAGAGTTCTACTTTGGTGAGGCAGCAGCACTTTTGAGCAGAGAATGTTGAAGGTCTTGTCAAACGAAAACTTCCAGGGTCCCATACCATCAAACCATGGCATCGAACGGTGAAAGACCTTGTCAAACTACAACTCCCAGGATCCCATAGCACTGAGCAGTGCCTTCACTATACAGATACGACCATGAAATCCTGGGAGTTCTACTTTGGTGAGTCACTAGCACTCTTGGGCAGAGACGGCTAAAGAACTTGTCAAACTAGAGCTCCCAAAATCCCATAGCACTGAGCAGTGCCTTCACTATACAGATACGACCATGAAATCTTGGGAGTTCTACTTTGGTGAGGCACCCGCACTCTTGGGCAGAGACGGCTAAAGACTTTGTCAAACTAGAGCTCCCAGGATCCCATAGCACTGAGCAGTGACAGCTGGAGGGGTGTCAAGCTGCAGGAATGCAACATGTGCCCCGAAATGTACATGAAAACATTCTAAAACCAGTCCCCTTCCCCTTGAAATCCAAAGTCGCTTCTGCTCCCCAGCGTTTGGGACTGTCCTGCACTCCCGCGAAAGTCCAGCAACTCTTTGAGCGCGGTCTTGCCTGGCTGCCTGCGGGGCTTCCTACCTTGGGCTCGGGCTCCTCTGCCTTGGGCCAGCCACCAGTGGAGAGGGACCAAGCAGGAGAGCATCACATAGAGGGGCGGGTAATCCATTTGGCAAGCGAGGGGCGCCAGGAGGGGAATGACGGAGGGAGGGAGAGAGGGAGGCAGACCCCCGCCACCTCGCCGCTCGGCTTCCCGGCTTCCTTCCTGGCTTCCCGTCCTGTCAGCGGCAGGAGAGCCGGGTCCCCAGCTGGCCCCTCAGCCTCCGCCGCCGCCGCCGCCGCCTCCGCCGCCCGGGACGCCTCCCCTCCTCCATGCAAAGCGAATGGGCAAATGAAACGCGGAGCGGCGGCCGGTCTCGGGGAGGAGTGCCAGCTGAGGGGAGGCGGCGGAGGGGAGGGACCCAGCTTGAGTGACAGCCCGGCGGGCCAGTGAAGAAGAGGGAGGGGGGCTGCAAGAGAGAGGTGCCCCTCTCCCCTCCCTCCCTCCCTCGGGACTGAACCAGAGAGAGAGAGAGAGACTTTCCATTGCACGTGGCGCTTCCAGCGCTCCTCCGCTCGCCATTGGTCAGCCCCCCTCGGCCAAGCCCCGCCCACCGCCGAGGACCACAACCCCAAAGAACTTGGATGGTCTCTATCAAAAGAATGGGAGCGCGAGCCCCTCCCGGGTTGTTTTGTTTGTTTGCGCGCGCGCCTCCTCGCCTCTGCAAAAGTGCAGGGAGGTGTATTCCAAGCACAGTATAAGTCTGCGTTGTTGTAGCTTTTTCGGACTGTATGCTCATGTTGAAGAAGAAGCATTCTCTCCTGACGTTTCACCTGCATCTGTGGCAAGCATCCTCAAAGATTGTGAGGTTATATATATTTGCATAGAGGATATAGTCCTCAAACTTTTTAAACAGAGGGCCAGGTCACAGTCCCTCAAAGTGCTGGAGGGTTGGATTATAATTGGGGAAAAATGAATGAATTCCTATGCACACTGCACATCTGTATATCTATATCTATCTATCTATCTATCTATCTATCTATCTATCTATCTATCTATCTATCTATATAAATGCTCTGTGCATAATGAGTACCTTAAAAACAAAAGAACCAATGAACGAAATCACACCAAATTTGGCAACCAAATGTCTCACAACACAAGGAGTGACCATCACTCAAAAAATTATGATTTTCTCATTTGGGAGTTGTAGTTGCTGGGATTTATAGTTCATCTATAATCAAAGAGCATTCTCAACTCCACCAACAATGGAATTGAACCAAACTTGGCACACAGGACTCCCATGATCAACAGAAAACACTAGACAGGTTTGGTGGGCATTGACCTTGGGTTTTGGAGTTGTAGTTCACCTACATCTAACCGCTGTGAGTCGCCTTAGGGCTGAGAATAGCGGTATACAAATGAAGTAAATAAATAAATAAATAAATCTAAAGAGCAGCTCTGTGAACCCAAACAATGATGGATCTGGACCAAACTTGGCACGAATACTCAATATGCCCAAATATAAACACAGATGGAGTTTGAGGGGAATAGACCTTGACATTTTGGGGTTGCAGTTACTGGGATTTATAGTTCACCTACAATCAAGAAGCATTCTGAACCCCACCAATGACAAAATTGGGGCAAATTTCCCACACAGAACCCTCATGACCAAAAGAAAATACTGTGTTTTCTGGTGGTCTTTGCTGACCCTTCTGACACCCCCTCGCAACCCCTCCCCCAGGGGTCCCAAAAACCAGGTTGAGAAGTGCTGCCTGAAGGCCACCCAGTCTAACTCCCTCCACCAGGGCAAGAAAACATAAAGCCCTCCTGACAAAGAGCCATCCAGCCATAGAAATAGATAAATATATATGATTCACGCACGCACGCACACGCACGCACACACATGTTCATGACAGATATAGTACCATAGATTTGAAAGAGACCCCTAAAGATGGACAATTATATGTTGCATGTTCCAGAGTAGGTAAAGCAGACAATCTTCACATCAACACTGGCAAAGAAACAGCAAGAAATACTGTTTACCCACAAGCATAAAGGCATTACATATATTAGAAACCAACACTTTCTCATTACTTTATTTTCCAGATCACCGGACTGGGCCACAGCAACACGTGGCAGGGGACTGCTAGTATATATATATATGTTTGCATAGACAACATAGTCCAGGGATCCTCAAACTTTTTAAAGAGAGGGCCAGGTCACAGTCTCTCAAAGTGTTGGAGGGCTGGATTATATTTTGAAAAAAAATATGAATGAATTCCTATGCACACTGCACATCTTCCATATAAATAAAAATGTAATGTTCCTTTGTGGGATTAACAGAACTCAAAAATCACTGGACGAATTGCCGCCAAAGTTGGCCACAAGACACCTACTAACCCAAGGAGTGATCATCACTAAAAAAAATGGATTTTGTCATTTCGGAGTTGTAGTTGCTGGGATTTATAGTTTACTTACAATCAAAGAGCATTCTGAACCCCACCAATGACAGAATTGAACCAAACATGGCACACAGGACTCCCATGACCAACAGAAAACACTGGAAGGGTTTGGTGGGGATTGACCTTGAGTTTGGGAGTTGTAGTTCACCTACATCCAGAGAGCACTGTGGACTCAAACAATGATGGATCTCGACCAAACTTGGCACAAGCACTCAATACGCCTAAATATGAACACGGATGGAGTTTGGGGGAAATCAACCTTGACATTTGGGAGTTGTAGTTACTTGGATTTATAGCTCACCTACAATCAAAGAGCATGCTGAACCCCACGAATGATAGAATTGGGGCAAACTTTCCACACAGAACCTACATGACCAACAGAAAATACTTAAGGCCATCCAACTCCCTTCACAAGGGCAAGAAAACATCATCAAAGCCCTCCTGACAAAGAGCCATCCAGCCATAGATATCTATATAAATAAAAATGTAATGTTTGTTTGTGCTATTCACAGAATTCAGAAACAACTGGGGTAATTGACACCAAATTTGGACACTATGTCCCTAACAACCCAATGTATGTTCTCCACTCAATAGATTTATAGATTTATAGATATATTTATTGCTGGTATTTATAGATTTATAGATATATAGTTCATACAGTGGCCCTTATTTCTCATGCCAGTAAGGTAATGGTCAAGATCCTGCAAGGAAGACTCCAGCAATACATGGAGAGAGAATTGCCAGATGTACAAGCTGGGTTTAGAAAAGGCAGAGGAATGAGAGACCAAATTGCCAATATCCGCTGGATAATGGAGAAAGGCCGGGAGTTTCATAAAAACATCTACTTCTGTTTTAATTAACTATTCTACAGACTTTGACTGTGTGGAGCATAATAAATTGTGGCAAGTTCATGGTGGTATGGGGATACCAATCACCTTGTCTCTCTCCTGAGGAATCTGTATAAGGACCAAGTTGCAACCGTTGTTCATTTTCATGGTTTCCTCCTTTCTGTTGAAATTGTCCACATGCTTGTGGATATCAGTGGCTTCTCTGTGTAGTCTGACATGGTGGTTGTTAGAGTGGCCCAGCACTTGTGTGTTTTCAAATAATATTCTGTGTCCAAGTTGGTTCATCAAATGCTCTGCTATGGATGACTTCTCAGGCTGAATTAGTCTGCAGTGCCTTCCGTGTTCTTTGATTCGTGTTTGGGCAATACTGTGTTTCGTGATCCCTATGTAGACTTGTCCACAGCTTCATGGTATACAACAGGCTCCTGCAGTGGTTAGAGGACACCTCTTATCCTGTTCCGTCTCCCAGGAGCCTGATTTGCCTTACTTTAAAGTTGCTTGAGGTTGCTTCCTCCTGCATTTTCTCCCAGGGCTGCTGCATCTTTGCAAGAGTCCTAAAAGTTAATAGTATCAGAGTCTGCAGGCCTCTTTGCAACTATTGGCTTAGAGAGCAGCTGTTTGAGTTTAGGGACCGCCTTTTCTCCAAGGGAAAGATCTCCATTTTAGACTCTCCCCTGCCTTTTCAGTTTGAGGAAAGATTTCAGACGTGCTGATGGCTAAGCAGTTAGCTCGGGGAGAACCACTGCAAAAACTATAATCTGAGTAAGCTATAGATAGTATATTATACTCTATAGATAAGTATTAAGCTAAACTGAGTAAGATATATTAAGCTATAGATAGGATAGATAAACTGAGTAAGCTATATTGAGTTAATATAGATAGTACATTGTGTATTGAGATATTTTAGACAGATAAGCTTAGTTGAGAAGATTGAGTTATATAGTTATAGAGTGAGAGTTGTGACTGCTTTGTCTCCAGGACTGACCTTAAGTTATAGATAGGGAAAAAGCATGCCTTTTTCTAAACCACAACAGCTTTAGGTTAGGGTGTTAAGATTTCAGAATCTTATCTGCCATTTGGAGAAAGGGTTGCCTCTGTAACTATAGGAAAGAAAGAATATTTTTGTAGCTTCATCTATCGACTGTTTGTTTGCAACTATATGAACCGTGCCAAGTCTTCGAGGACTTTGTATAAATAAATATTCTCTTTTGATGTTTAAAACCAGTACTAGTCTCAGTTGCTTAGTATCTTAAGTTTTCAAGATAGACAACTGCAGTTCGCTCAGCTATAGAGAGAAGCATGTCGCAGTCTTATTTTTTATAGCATCTGGGTGGACGGCACATATCCTTTGCTGAATGTAACATTCGTTGAATTTCCTTGGTGGATCTGTAGATTGTTTGTAAGTTGTGTTTCTTCATCAGCTTCCCTATGCGGTCAGTAGTTCCCTTGAAAACTTTCCCTCTGGATGTATCTTTTTCTTTACTCTCGTGGCTTGTTCTTGGTCTTACAGCATTTCCGATGTCTGTAGACATACATCAGAAGAGCTTCAAGACCAAGAACAAGCCACAAGAGTAAAGAAAAAAACGAATCATTATTACATGTTTATTTCTAGAGACAGCTAGAGGTGTTTGTGGGATTTTGGTGCATACTCAGTCTTTCCAGATGATTTGTTTTGCAGAATGTTTTGTAGGTTCATTGTCATTTTGTTTGCTTTTCTAAAGTAATCATTTATTTGAGAGAAAAGATAAGTGGGGAGCAGGCATGTAGCCAGGGGAGGGGGGGCCTTGAGGGGCTTCAGCCCCCCTCCCCCGAAATTCTCATGGTGGTTCGCAAAAAGGCCTTACTGGTGCATTATTTAAACTGTTATGTTTATTCATATCATGATCTGATCACCATACTCAATATATCCCATATGCATGGGGGTATTGGGGTAATGATACAAAAGGTTTGCTAGGTAGACCCTCTTTCACTCAGACTCAGCCCCCCCCCCCCCCCCCCCCCGAATTGAAATCCT